TTTATAGTAGAGCTGAAAGAGAAAGTTGACCAATGGAAAATGTATCTGCATCTAATCTGATAACTGATCAATCATTAATTTTCTAATAACACAATCTCCAGATGTCAACTTGGGTTCTAGAAGGTTGGTATGGTCATTTTTTCTACCATTTTCTGGCATTTTTCAAACCAAACAACTGATCGATTAATCGTGAAAATAATTGGCAGATAAATCAATAATGATTTAGTTATCTGTTCACATTATGCCCTCAAAGCTTGCGCTGTGTTGTCACTTAATGAGGTACACGTGCTCTGTGACAGACACAGCGGCTGCAACATCTCAGACACCGCCCAGCTGCTGAGATTTTCATGGAACAGATCTCTTTCACAGCAGCCATTTCTGACATGATTTAGTGCAGCAGAGCTTTTACACTGAGCCAACATGCAAAATGGAAGCACTTTGACTGTTTGACCTGAATGGAACAGAACCTTAACCAGTATCATTGGTAACACCTGTGTTTACTATTTTATGTCAAAATGGCTGCTGTGAAAAAGGTCCATCAAGTTCCAGTAAAACATCTTGACACAAAACATGTGACCAATTAAAATCGACACAACGTGGTAGCATCTGTATGGTTCTTCCACTGAACTGTTCAAAGCATGTGTTTAGCAGTGCTAAGTGGACGACGCAGATGTACCTAGACTATATAAACAGCTGAATCCAAGGCCTTATACAAGCGATAGTAAGCACACCATTTCCAACAGATAAGCTAACCTGCAGATGTTCTGGTGGAGTTTCTCCTGCAGCTCGATGAAGCTGTCATAACGCTCCTGTGTGAAGGTGATGTTCCTCAACACTGCTGCCACAGCGTGGGGTCGCACTGCCGCCGTCTGCACAGGACAAACACAACAGCAACAAACCAAGTTGTTACCATGGTGATACACACATTTATTTGACTTATAAACCAAGCTAATGATAGATTCTGGCTACAAAGTATTTGCCTTTAAGTGTTATGAATGTTACCACCCACCTCCTTAGTAATAACCAGCTTCTGAGGCTCCCCGCTGCTGGGGCTAACTCGTCTGTAACGAGGTGCCTCCAACCTGAAACACAAATACAATCTCTGTAGCAACAGTGAAGCAAGGCTGCATGCACTACACCCATAATGGATAGGCATCTTGGATTTAAGCAAGGCTGACAACCAAACACCACATCTCATCCACGATATTTAATGCAATTAAATCACACTCAGACGTTTCCACCCTCCTTATTCTGGAAAAGGGTTCTGATTTACACTGTTATACTTCTCTGTTGTGTCATGAAACTGGTCAACCTTGACATGCATTTTAGCAGTCACCCTTCACTGACACTGTAGCAATCACAGCAGGATGCCGGTTCTGTCATACAAGATGCCACTCACGTATTCTTGAAGACCTGCAGTCCACGGACCAGCCCTTCCAGACACAGCAGGTCATAGCGGTTAGCTGGTACATCAATCTTGTAGAGGATGGTGTCGGATGCTCCGGATGCTTTGGAGTCGCCCTGCTCTCGGCTGATTATCTCCTTCTCTGAGGTCTGTAATGAGTTCACTGGTTACATGTCACAGTTCAATAGATTTTTGGCACAAATGTACTTGAAGACCTTTCTCACATTAGACATTTTGACTTGTCAATTGTCATGAGTGACATCCTATACAATTTAGTTTTTGCCAAGTCAAAGTGTACATCATGACGAAGGTCTATTGTAATCAGAAGACACTTTTCCTTTCATGTTGTTTACTCACAATTTCATCCAGCTCCAGCCCAAACTCAAAGCACAGCTCGTCAAACTCCTCATCAGCTACAACAAGAAGCAAACAGCCATTATTAAAAACAGCTTTCTATATAAAAAGGACCCACCGGCTGTTATCTCCCCCCTGCTGCTCTTCACCCGCAGCCGGCTCAGGTTTAAACGTCAGGAGCCGGCTGAATGACGCAATCACGCTGACGTCAAACACACAGGTATCAGTGCAATAAGACTAGTTTCTTTTTGCCACAAACATCAGCAGAACAGCCTCATATTCAAATTCATACTTGGCGCGAATTTCAATTAAATGTCTTATTTTTCTCTGTATTAAAATCCAGATCCGGTAAAGCTAGCCGCTCGTGAGCAGCTGCTGCGGTGCTAACAGTCAGGCTAATGAGCACAAACTGAGCTCTGACGTCCTCTTTCAGAGTCCAGAGAACATTTAAACAACAGGCAGACAACTTGTCCGCTACTTGAACATGTAGTAAATATGACTCACTGTATGTTCTGCCCAAAGCTTTGAAGAGAAGATCTCTTTTTACTCCGACAGTCGGCATGTTGGCTGCTAATCCTCCTCAGCCCAGTGGAAAAGGACCCCAGCAGCCGGCTGTAGCTGTCTAGAGCGGTGCCTGAGAGAAAAAAAAACATCTCAAATTTGTGGCTACAATGTCCTCCAATTGTGATAAATGTAGTTAATTATTTTCGAAATAAAGTGTCGTGTCTTAGCAACACATAAGATATGTCACATAATAACCGTGTCTCTTTCCCCATGTTTTATTGAGATAAGTACATAACTACGTAATATTAAGTCCCAACGTTAAGATAAATAACATAAAATTGGAACCATGTTAACTTAATCTATTTTTTATTAACAATGTTTATTTATTTATAAGAATCATAATTAATATTGATCATTTTAATGAGAACACACATGGGGTAACTTAGTATCCCCTTTAAAAAGATAAATTACAAAGTGCTTCTCAGTAATACAACAAATGTTTTTTAAAAAAGTACACTTAAAAAGAGAGACAAAAAGTTTACAAAAAGACAAAAAGTCTTAAAATCTACATACAAGTGTTATAATAACTAGGACTATTAACGGGACGTTAATCAAACAAACTGTTCAATTCCATTCAACTGACATGAAAGTAGGGACAACAGCATTGACCGGGACACCCATCACTTTAGACCCATTGAGAAAACATTTCGGTTAGAAAAATTAAGTTGTTTATTTGTTGGAGAACATCAGAAAAAATATCAGTGATATACACTAATACTGAACATCAGAATAATCATCTATTCAAATATTATTTGTGAGCCTGAGGAGAGCAATCTCAGTGGAGTGTTTCTAGTGAAGGCCAGATTGGAAATCAAAACATATACTGCTATTATCCAGCACGCCTAAAAGTTGCCTAGAGACCACGGTTTCACGGCTTGAAACTGAGCTGGAGATGGACATACTGTAGTAAAGAATCAGAAGGCAACAGGGGTTGAATGTGCTTGAAATAATGATGCAGACAGTATCAAGGGAGTTATTCACAATAACAAGTCTTCATGAATAGCACCAAAGATCTATGAGAACAGATTGTGGCACAGCAAGTAGTAGTTGACATCTGCATATGAGAAATGGCATTACATTTTTTATTAGCAAAATATGCTAAATATTTTCCCTCATGCTTAAAGGAGCTTGTCTAATGAGAAAAAAACTCATACGATTTCTTCAAGAAAGCTAGAAAACAGATGGCGTTCAAATTATACATTTGAAAGAATCTGCTTGAGTCATCTGGTTTGATGCTTAGTGGCTAAAACGGATGACAGATACATTCCAATCATGAAATTGTTAATTAAATATATTATCTTGTTAGTAATCAGATGGTGGAGTGCTGGGACTGAAGGATTATTATTACAACCCTGATGAGAAAGTGGAGATATGAGGCAGCAAGCCTCATTTCACCATTTCATTTTCCCAGTAATATGTCTGTTGGTGAAGCAGCCATCTGCTTGTCTCTCTGTCTCCATGATATATCACACTGCCTCTGCACCACACTGCAGAGTGAGTCATCACACTGCCAGCGGCTCCCTTTCATAGCTCTGTGTTTTCTTAGGTTTATAACAATACAACAGTCAACATAAAAAATAATAATAATTTAATTTATTTGCAACTCAGGACCATGATCACATGGTATGGAGCAGAATAAAGACATCCCAGAAATGACAGAAATTTTACATTGGATAAACTGTATCCTCTCTGCTTCACTCCTCCAAATAACATCATGCATCAGCATTGTTCGTCCAGGCTTGTAATCAGAGGGTTGCCAGTTCAAATCCACTCATATAGCCCACTGTGCACTCCCTGCCCTCCACAAGTGCTGTGTGTGTATGAAAGTAGACAACATAGATATCAGTCACAGTATCAACATACATTATGAGGACATACATTTAATGTCAAGGCCCTTCCAGCGCCAGCGCGAGCACGACTCTTATCCAGTTGCTCCGTGCGTGTGGTGTTGTTTTGAGTAACTTGAGTGTGTTTTTCTTGAATTTCCCTCGGGATAAATAAAGTATCTATCTATCTATCTCATGTCAAGTGTTTTGACAGTTGGGTATTCCAACGGTGCATGCTGGGTAGGGGCTTTACAAATTGCACAAGGGGCGAAAGCAGACAAAGAAACGGTGTCAAGAAGAAGAACACAATGAGTAGTTTTTTTTCTAGTTCTGCATGATCAAGGTAGTGGTTGTGATATTCTGTAACATTTGAAATTGTCCATGATGACTCCCCCAGTGGAGCCCATGTCCAAATCATGGCACCATAAGTTTACATTTAAATCTTAATCACAGGTGAAATGTACTGGACCTCACAATTCTTCCACTCAGGTTAGGTGGACCCTTTCTTAATTGACCCAATTATTGATCATCATTTGTATGAACTTTCTCAAGAGTCTGAGGACCATTTTACATTTGACAGCTTATTAATACACCCTCTTTATTTCCTTTAATATAACCACTGCACCCCACCTCGGTGTGCGCGCGTGGCCTCTCGCTCCTTCTGACACTCAGTAACCCACGCAGTCACCTCGAGCCCTCCTTCCATCTGGGCCCGGCCCCTAGCACGCGCCACCTCGACGAGTCCAATCATAACGCAGGGAATGCCTCCCCCCCCCTCCCCCTCCTCCCCTCCTCTCCCCCTCCTCCCCCCCTCTCTCCCTCCGTACCCGCCATCCATCCTCGTACAACAACACGACGCGCGTGTCACTTCCGGGCTCAGATTGCAGAGTTCAACATCAGCGGTTGTAGGAGAGCCGGCGGGTGGACACAGAGGCAGAGCTGACTGTAACGGGGCCGGAGGACGGACAGACTGACAGACGGACACCGGTAAGTTCCTCGATGCGCGTTTATACCCAGATGTGCGGGATGCTACAGTTGCGTCAAGTTGCCCGAGATAGACCGAGACAATTGTGGAAGTAATGGACGCTATTCTTCTAAAAAAATAAAATAAAATAAAACCCGAGACTTTTAGTTCACGCTGTTGAATGTAGCAGCTACTTGCTAGCTAATTTAATGTTGTCAGCTGAGCCAAAGTGTAGAAAGAGTCGCTAAAGTGAGAACAAAGACAGACAGAGTAGGATTAACTAATGTAATTCAGATTCTTCCCTCAGCTGAGAACAGGGTGTGAATGTGTGTGCTGTTCAAATGCCAGTGTGTGTAAAGTGATCATTTCGCTGTTAGTTACCAACAATGCTACATTCGCTCATACTATAATTATAATATAATATAATAATGTGTTTGTGGACGAGAGCCTATTTCATGATCTCGTATGGTCAGCGCCTTGAACAGTGTTTCGCCAAAATGCAACACAGTTTGACCTATTTTATTTTGAAAAATCAAACCGGAAGTTATCTTGCCAATGTGGGGCTCTTGTTAGTCGCGAGTGCGCCTGGATGTCGCAGTTCAGTGGCTCTAATTATAATGACATCTCAATTCCACAACATATTGGGAGTCCTTGTGTCATTATTGCGCTTTAATTTCATTAAGGAATGAGGAAGAGCTCAGTAGCTCATATACTCATTGTAATGAGCATATTTTTAAGAGAACTTTTAGAAACATCTGTACACTGTTTTGTGTTTCTTCAGGTAGATGTATACAGTTATGAAAGGCAGACAAGCAAGACACATTTTATATAAACGTGTGTTTTAATCAAAGGCCAGAACTGCAAATCTTTGTCACCTCACAACAATCCTCACTCCCAAGTTTTACAACCTCAAGCTGCTTGCCACTTTTAAGGTCTGTTTATTTACCCAGCCGAAGTGAACTGGCCTGTGGCAACGGTTATCAAATGATGCAGGTCCACCAGGGTGCTCCTGTACCTACAGACAGAGATCCTATTGTCTTGCGGGGATGGTCCGATGTGATTAGAAAACACTCAGACACACACTCTTTCTCCCTGGTAGCCATATTTCTCAAGGAGGACACAAGTCTGCATTATTATGGTGTTATAAAACATATCTTAAGTTAATATAGTCTGCTGAGTGAGGAGGGAAAAGATTACATGTTTTCTTGGTATTTATTTACATTCCTTATTTCACTTGTGATAAAGATACTTAATATTAGCCAGGATCAGGTACTTTTTATTGATTTAGCTGTGGTATAAATAGTCCAAAGCATTACAAGAGAGAGAAAGTGAAAGGAATAGGTTGGTGACTGGCATGTTTGCCAGTAGTTTATGTCACCATGTGCACACAAAAGCAGAGAAAAGCTGCAGCCTGATCTGCATAATCCAACCAATTGTGTTTTGTGCTTTCACTCTCAATGAAATCATACAGTACTTAAAACTCTTCAGTCATTTTGCAAGCCTTTGATTATGCCACTGTTTGAAACAGGCAAATACACCTCATGTTTGCACCTCCACACGCCCTCGCAAATGCACCTCCACACCACAAACATCTCCTCTTTCTCCTTAACACACGCGCAGTCTGACCCTTGGGGCCAAAGTCGTGTGTTTGTGCGTCGTCTCACCACAATGGCCATGTTGAACTTTCTGCGAGACTTCGGCCTGCCTGCTTAGCTGAGTGGGTGAAAGCACGATGACGTCTGCACACAAAAGAACCCATTCACACAATCTCTTGAGGAAGCAATCATTCCCTCACACACACACACACACACACACACACAAACACACACACACGCCTGCTCACCCCACCACTACACAGACTATGTCACAATATTACTCAATTAATCCAGTGAGTGGAGGCTGCCTGCAAAGCGCCTGCTTGCTGCATAAAGCCACCCATTGAGCAACTACTAGTCTACATATTGCGACTAGCTCTTTCTCACCATTAAAGGTAAGAGATTAGAGTCAATCTTGTTTGTGTACTGCTTTAGGATAAATCAGGGTCTTGACCTTTTACAGTGACTGAGAGGAGGAGTTGGTCTTGGATCTTTCTGGAAAGCCCTAGGTCAAGCCCGCTCGTCTACATGGGGGTTGGACTCGTTTCTCTGGGTTGGTAAATGGCTCGTGGATGCAATCAGTGCATATCAATGAAAAGTAAGGAATTACTAGTCTGATTGATGTCACACAGATGGAGGTTACAGGTGGCTCTCCATCTTTATTTATGCATAAATTCCTTTTATCCAAAGCTTAGCCGACATTCCAATATGTTATGACTACAACACCATATCTCCCTGCCCATGTGTAATCTGACTAGTGGTGCCTGGCAGTGCACACAGTGGCACTCCCCACTGTTATTCATACAGTCATGGCGCAATGGTGAAATTATTAGTTGATTATTTAACCGAGAATTAATCAACAACCATTTTGGAGTGCTATTAATAACTGTGAGAAGAGTTACATTCCAAACTGGGGATGTGGTTTGAAAGACGAAGGTGTTTACCAGTGAGAGAGGGTCTAACAAAAGACGTTACAGAGTTACATTATGTGTTTCCAGAGTTTGACCAGGATATTTCGACCTATGTTGCTTTGATTTTGACCAATATTTTGGTCAAGTGCAATACTAAAATGGAGTATCCCTTCAGCATCTAATCGAAAACACACCAAAGCCTTCAGATTCAGTGTAGGCTACTCAGTATTGTTGGTGAACATCCTGTTTACTGAATGCAGTTGCAGGAAATAATAGCTTGAAATAATCCAGTCTATGAAATGTAGATTTTGTGATGTTTTGTTAGAGGAGCAGACAATAGCACTAAGATGATTTTCAGTGATCTTTATGGAGGAACAGGATTATATCAGCGACAGGTTCAGAGTCTAAAGAAAAATGAAAAGCATTGGTTGCTGACATGAGGAAAAACAAAGAGAAACCCAGTCGTTGTTCAAGAAAGCATGTTCCCTCTCTGTTGCTTAAAGTACGAGAGGTTTGTTTTTTATGGTTTACAAAAGATGATGGAAAATAAAATGGTGGCTGCATTTAAAACTGTCCTTGCAGTCTCATATTTGTTACAGCAGACCTAAAACTTCGGTTCAATGTCTACACAAAACAGCAGTGGAAGAAGTTGAAGTCTGCCAGCACTGTGCTCTGTTGCTTCTTTTCCTCTAGTCTGACAGTTTGTTTACCACAGTTGACCACACTACTCCTCTCTGGCCTCTATTTCATCGACCTCCACTTTCAGCAAAAAAAAGAAAAAAGAAAAGAACTGCAAGAGACAACCAAACCAACAAGTGGATGATAGCGGGCGATGGAGTAAAGCGTCTGTCCCAGCAGGGTGCAGTTTTGGTAAGCTGTAGGGTCCTGTGATGAAGCGAGGAGGCATCAAGGCCGGGTAACAAGACACCAAGCAGAACAACAGCGCAGTGGAGAATCCCACAGAGAACAGATGGTAGTCTGGGAGAGCAGTGCTGGTAAAAGCTCTGATTTATTTATGAGTCTCAAAGGGACACTTGAGGGATGAGTGTGTTTGGGAGACAAGTAGGTACAGTGTGTGTCAGTTTTTTGGTAGGGGAAGGATGAGGTGCTTCAGGGGAGCTAGATGAGCCTCTCCCTCCTATGAATAATGAATTACTGCTGCTAGAATAGGCTGTTAGCGGCCCTCCGAGTGTGTATCTGCGTGCTCGCTCACACCGTTTTGACAGGGGACATGTTTTTTTTAGCTGCACGATTGCAAAGACAGTTGATGGACTGGGTAGAAATGTCAATATGCATTATGGTTATTTCTCACACTGGTGGCCTCTAATGGCAGTTTAACCACCTTATTACCCAGAAATGTTGGACTATATAATGGCGGTTGTGATAGTAACGAGGTTCAGCTCCCTAAATTATAAGAGAAGCACTTTTGCCATACCCAACAGACAAATAGTAATCAATAATAGTAGTGATAACAATGATGACTGTGAAGTATCTTTTAGAGGATGGGACCTTCATTTACCCTGGCAATAATCTGAAACACTTAAAGATCCAGTTTTTTTTTTTTTTTTTTTACAGATCCTTGAATCTTACACTGCGCAGAATGTTATATGTTCATAGTTTGACACTAGAAGGCTGCGTTCAATCTCAATCTGCTAAAAGGGAAAAAATTTTCTGAGCTCACCTACAATCTGAGTTTATGACGCATACGTACAGGCAGGATTTTGTGACATCACGACTGACAAAATGAAGATGAATTCTGGATTTTTCAATGAGGGGGAAAGAACAGACACAATTTTATTAATAGTCAAAGCAGATTATTTTTAAACGTCTGGGGATCTCTAAACTGAGATTAGCTACAACAGCCAGTGAAATACATAAACAGATGTTCCTTTACTGGAGCTTTAAACCGCATCTCAACATGGCAGATGCTGTTTGCTCAGTCTGAGGTTTAAAAAAAAAAAGCTAGTAAGTGGACCTTGGGTTAAGATTATGTTGTCAAACTACTATTTTTGTGGTATACTGTATAAGGAAATTTAAAATGTAATAACTTTGAACTTTAACTTTAAACTTTAAAGGAAAGAAAGGCATTTGAAATGAAATAAAAAAGTAAGGTTTCGAAAGAAAGTTTTGCAATCGGCCCTGAAAAGCACTTGTATCAAAATATTCAAACATACCTAACCCTTGGTAAGACACCGTATATTTAAATAACAGTGTTTCCTGATTGATCTGAAGCTAAGACCGGTGTTGGCCTAACCTACTGTACAGGTTAAAGTGTAGAGAACTGGTGCTATCAGGAAACCTGTCAGTCATGGCAAAGAGAGAACCTTAACACTGATCTCTGATCAGAACTCTGGACAGCTCCCAAACTCTGCCAGCACCTACTGCATGTTACAGTCTCCATCACCACTAGTTCGTATTGTCTGTGTCTGTCACATGATACAGTATTGTTACAATTGAAACTAGGAAGTGAGATGAATTTCAGAAAATATACTCCATACTGTAAAAATCCAGTGTGGCAGTCTATCCCACTACACTCTCTCTGGTTCAGTGTGTACAGTGTGGCTAGGGCATCTGCTACTTTGCGGTACACACACTTTAGCTTCAGCTTGTTCTTTATGTGTACTCTCTCAGTCGTCCTAGTCTAGTCTAGTGGCTTGTACCCTGTCACACACACTCATACATGCTCATTCAGAAACCTCTTATACACCATCTCACACTTAGTGTCGCTTACGTCTGTTAGAGATAGTGGTCTCTTTCTGTTTCATTCTTTTCACTTTCTCTTCTTCTCAAATCTTTTTGTTAGTTTTTTCTCATCTGCTCTTGCTGTTTTCTTTCTTTTTCTCTCTTTTTTTCTTTGTCTCTTCAGCGGTAACAGTTGCCTGTGCTGTGTCCATGCTGTTTTCTCAGTGAGTGCACTGGATACAGGGGCTGCAGGAAAGAGAAGGAACATTGGAGCACAGAGCAGGTCTGTTTGTTACGTCGTGGTTTGCCAATAATTTCTCTTCTGCTTTTTTTGAGCGAGACTACATGTGACTCATTGTTTGGTTTCGATTTCTGAATGAGTTGAGATCCGGGTACTTTGTGGCTCTTAAAGCTCAGGATTATTATAAGCTCAGGCTTTACCTTATTTTGAAATAACAATAAGAAAGGAACTGAATGTCAGTTGTTTGTGATTTATTTTCCAGGAGTAGTGTGGAGCTGTGGGCATTTTATTGCCAGGGATTACGAGTCAAGCTCTCCAAAAGAAAGAAGGAAGACAAAGAAAGGGACAGAAGAAAAGGGGGACTGACTGCCACAGCGGGAGGAACTTTTTCTCACAGCTTATCTTCCTCCACACTCTCTCCTCGCCTCGTCCAGCGTCTTCACAGCTTCACCAAGATGAAGCTGAAGGAGGACCTGAACCCCTTGCTGCTGCTCCTCTTCCACCTAATGGTATGGATCTACACCTTCATCACCTTCCTGCCTTCCTACGTCCTCAGCTGGGTCTCCAGATCCAACGAGGGCTTCCTTGGCTCCGAGGAGGAACGAGCGAAGAGAGCGAAGGCCCGCTCGGTGCTGGGACGTCCCGAGGGACCCTACCGAGCGGTGAGCGCCACCAAGAGGTTGTTGACTTCGCTGCACCCAGGAGTGGACACCCTGGATAAGATGTTTGAGTACGCAGCCACAAAGTTCCCACACAGAGACTGTCTAGGGACGAGGGAGGTGATCTGTGAGGAGGACGAGCGACAGAGCAATGGAAAAGTGTTCAAGAAGGTAAAGAGTAATGCAGAAAGTGTGGTAACAGAAGCAGTAGTATAGTTACATTACATCAAATAGCAAGGGACAAAATACAAACCCCTAAAAAAGGGACATTAGGATGTTAGAGGCACTTTAAAGCAAGGGCGAATCTAGAGGGGTGGTATGAGGTGGCAGCTGCCACCCCTAAAAAATGCCTGGCCACCCCAGCTGTTACCCCAGTTAAAAAAACTTTAAACCATTTAATGATCTCCTATGGCCATATTTTGAACTAAGGCTTCAGGTCAATGAAAAAAATTCTAACGCAACCTTTAGATAAATGCTTTACAAATGTGCCACAATAATTTAATATTTTTGAGTAAAATATCTTTATTTGGGAGCTTTTCCAAGCAAATATTGACATATGTGATTGTTTGCAATTAAATCAGCAGATATTTCTGCCACCCCTTAAAGTTACCATGCCACACTCTTGCCCCCCCCATGAATATTTCTCTAGATCTGCCCCTGCTTTAAAAGAATGGTTCAACATTTTGGGAAATACACTTATTAGAGAGTTAAATGAGTAATATAAACGAATACAGTGGAATACAGTTCCGTAGATAAACAAACGTACATGGTATGATAACTGTTCATTTTCATACCACAGTATACTGTGCTATCGGTATACCGCTGCAATCCTAATACCACATGGTCAGTGTAAAAACATGAATGAATGGATGAATAAAAGACTGCATAGCCAGGTATTTGAAGAAGATTCACAAAGGTTAGAAAAAGGGAAGAATGAATAGAAGCAATAGATTTGAATTTTTTTCCTGCACCTCACATTTGTCATATTGTATAAAGAAAAACGGTATTGTTTAAATTGTCAGCATTCCAGCTTGTCATTCCACTAGACGACCTAAATTCCGTTGACCTTAAAAATGTTAAGAAAGAGAAGTGTATGGAAAGAAAGAAGGAGATGGGATAAAGAGATTTGATTTGTTCAACAGTAAAAAGAATAGTGGGAGTATGAAATAGAAACTAAATCCTTCCTAACATGAAGGCTACTACCATGTCTTGCCACCATATCCTCTATATGCTTCTATAAAATGTACGTCTGTATACAAATACTTGCATTCACAGATTATCTCAGAAGTTGCAACAGCATTCAGTGTAAACTTTACCCAAGTATGCACGGTGCTGGCACAGTCAGGAGTTAGCAAACTTTGACGTGCATTTACAGTTTCCCCCTAATCCCAGCAGCCTGATCCTTCTAATCCAGTTAAACCCCCAGTGTCGAAACACTTATTGCTGCAAGAGAACATGTCTTAGCTGTTTATTGTTTCCAACAAGTGGATAACAGTACTGTATAGTCATGATTACTGTGCGTTTGTGTGCACTACCATTTATTAACCATTAGGAGCCAGTATAACCTCACTAATACAGGCAGGAAGCATGTGTGTCTTTCTACTGTGTGTCATCAGAGTGTTGGAGAGTATATCCAGAAGCCCGTGTTTATCTTCTTCTCATGCAGATGATGACCGTGAAATGCTACAGTATGAGAATGACAGCAGAGGAGGCAGTAGTTTTGTTTGGCAGTGATGAACTGTTGCTCCCTTTCCTGTGACTTTTTAAATATGAAACAGACCAAACATGTGACTGTGGGATATAACTCTCAGTACTGTGCTCCTGCAGTAAAATGCACCCACTGACACACAATAAAAGGAGGAATCAAATGTTCTTTGGTTAGAGTAATGGCTCAGTACACCCTCTAAATAGTTAATAAAGACTGGGTACATTGTTGGAGCAATTAGCCTCCTTTCCTTTATCTACTGTACCTTTTTATCCCCTTCTTCATCACTAACAAATGTCACTGTACTTCTCTTCCACACCCCTCTCCCCCCTCCTGCAGGTGGTTCTGGGTGAGTACCGCTGGCTCTCCTACAAGGAGGTCCTCACAGCAGCGTCCCAACTGGGCAGTGGGCTGGCATCGCTGGGGCAGCGGCCAAAAAACAACATCGCCATGTTCTGTGAGACGCGAGCCGAGTGGATCATTGCTGCCCAGGCCTGCTTCATGTACAACTTCCGACGTAAGTCCAGCGTGTCTGTGTATGGACCATCAGCATATATGACAGCTCTCCAAAAGTGAAGCCCCCTGGTGGCTGACTGCAGTATAGGTCATAAAGTGTGTTGCCTCCATAATAGCAGATGGGACAATGGTCAAACTAAAGAATCTAGGTACACCTTAAATAAATTAGTGATTTGATGGTTTCCGGTATTTTAGATAGTTCTCATTTTAATTTTCTTTCAATTTTAAGTTATTTGAAACTATAAAAAGGGGGTTTTACATCATGAATGACAGCTGAGCCCTGCTCATGATTAAGTCGACCGGGGCGTATGGGTCACCAACCAACCCCGGATATGATGTCCATCTTTTATATGTCGATAGTATGGACACACAGAAATACACAGAGGAGGGTGGACAAACAATATTAACACCCCATGAAAAGCAGTGCAGCAGCTTAACATTTTAAACAGTCTTTAGCCTAAAAAACACTGCATCACTCTAAGCTGCAGCCGGTCAGAAGCATCAGTCTCTTACATACTGCGTACCCATTGTGTAACATTTAGGAGCATCTATTGGCAGAAATGGAATATAATATTCATAGGTATGTTTTCATTAGTGCAGAATCACCTGAAAATAAGAATCGTTATGTTTTCCTTACCTTAGAATGAGCATTTTTTATCTACCTGCTGCGGTTCGCCTTCTGTGGTCGTCGCCATGTTGAACCGCCATGTTTCTCCAGTACCCCAGAACAGATGAAACATACACTGCTTTAGATGGGAACGTTTGTGTTTTTTGCATGTTTCACAGGCACTGTAGTTCCTCCCTCAAGCTTGGAAAGGGAAGGTGAAGTTAGTGAGTTGGACTTTACATTGACACTGCTAGATGCCACTGAATCCTACACACAGATCTCATGTAACCTTTCTCACATAACAAAAACAGAAATGTTATATATCCATTGAGTTTCTGTAGTGTTTTTTTGTAGTGGCACTTTTTTAATTACGTTATCTTGTTGTGCCCTCTTCTTCTGGTTTTCTAACTCGAAACCAACTATTGCCTGATTTGGGGAGTAATGGATTACATGTAACTGAGTTACCTAATCAGGATTAAAAAAAAGGTAACTGTAATCCATGTCCTCTTGTAGAAAAAAGATATAATCCTATTACAGTACATTTAGTAAATATTGGGGTTATTTAGCAGGATTACAGTTTTAAAATGCAACAGTTTTTTAATTTTCTATTGTTTCTATTTCCATTTCTTATATAATACGCTTACATCAGTACTTCTTATTGATAATTCATTTCTCTTGTCTTTATTTACATATTTGTTGTTGAGGTAATCCAGAAGTAATAGAAAGTAATTGAGTTTCATTACTTCAATATTGTGATACTTGGATTAGGTTACTGACTAAATTTTTTAACAGGTAGTTAGCAATTGTATTGGATTACATTTTAAAAGTAACCCTGCCTACTGCTTGTCTCGATCAACCAACTTCTAGTATTCGCACCTTGACAAAGAAAAGGAAAAATGCTTTGCATAGTTTATACCCTACCTCTAAAATAAAAAATAATTCATTGAATTTGTTTTTTTTTTAAATATATTTAGTTGAATTTTTGTCTGAGAAATAAATTGTAATGTTTTTCAGTCTTATTTTATATTAAAAAGTCATTATATTCTTCCTTTTACATCTGTAGGACCTTAACTCTCAACACTTTAATAGAGTATTTTTGAAAACGATGGGAGCCAGCAGTAGAACAGACTGAAGCAAATGGAGGTCCTTTTTTGTCAACAGCAAAGAAGTAAATCTGTACTATACTGTAGTGTGCTTTCAGTTTAGGTTGTACTGTGCTGTGTTCACTGCTCTCTCCACTTTCCCACTGAGCATCTTCCAAATGTGTCTGAATTAGGCTGATTTATAGCTATTTCTGTTTGTGTGAGTGTGTACGTGCACATGTTAGTGGTTGCACTGGACAACTTGCAACACGCAGGGCCCAGCTGAGACAGAAGAAGGTCAATTTGTCCCTTCTGCTTTTCTGTTATATAAGTGTCCCATTTCTCCTCCTCCACTCCTTTTTTTTCTCCATCCGTTTAATTTTCTGTGATGGAAACACACTCAGATACAACAACGCATTTTTATTTTATACATGCACAGTGTCACCACATCTTTTTGTTGTACTCCAACAAAAAGGCATCTTTTGCCCTGGAAAATGGTCCTTTCTGCTTGTATTAGAGTAGACATCATGTTTCTCATGTAACACCAGTGAGAATTCTGTACCTGTCAGCCCAAAGTAGTGTCTGGTTTGTTCAGGTGAAAAGGACCAGAGGAATAATTTAACATTAGCACAATGCTAACAGGGGACATTCTAAGAATTGTAAAAATAAAAATAAAACAGCAGAATGACTTTAAATAATAAGAAAAAAATATTTTTTTCACTTCAGAAAAAACTGCCTATGTTTTGTGACATTAATGCTGAGGGATACGTTAACACTGTAAACCACAGAGAAGGTTGAAATTTTCAGTCTTGTTGCGCCTTCATCCTATAACGATCAGTGCAGCAGCAGCCTCCTGCCCTGAGGGATTCCCTGCTGATTTACTCTTTAATATGTTCTCTACTTAAGGGTACTTTCTTTACTATGAACATCCACAGCAGCACTTTAAGCTCATTAAATCTTTTTGATTGTCCTTGAAGGACCCTTCATTTTCTCTGTGTGCTTTAGTTTATGCTCCATTAAACTGTCACGCTTTGAAAATACGCTGCGAGTACAGGCCAATAAAGCATCTCTATAAAGCATCTTTCTCTCCTGCAAACACAAACAGTGGGGACAGTGGAAAGCCCGGGGCAGTGGATAACACATAGTGCGGGGGGGAGGTAGAGGGGAGTTAAAGGTTGAAAAGAGCGATGGAGGAAGAGATGGAGGGGAGGAAAGAGAGGGAGAGAAGTGAGGGGTGATGGCGTCAGAAGAGGGGTGAGAGAGTCTACATGAACATCTGATGTTGACAGAGGGATCAAGGAGTCAGCCAAAGGCCCCCAGTGAGCTCAAACACTTGGTGTGGTGTGTGTGTGTGTGTGTGTGTGTGTGTGTGTGTGTGTGTGTGTGTGTGTGTGTGTGTGTGTGTGTGTACATTGTATTTACTGTATATTGGCTTTTTGTCAAAAGGCAAATGTGCACATCATTTGTGAGTTCTTTGCACTTGTCATATGTGTGAGTTCAGTAAACGAGATATAACTAGCAGCAGTCACGCAGCATACGTACTCTACTACTGCTGTCATATAAAAACCTCATAACTCCCGTTTTGGCTGCTTTTTATGTCTTAATGTAAGTTGAAGGATTACATGTTCCTCTGTGCACTTCTGAGGAAATTTGACTCCTCCCCCATTTGTTGGATTGAAAAAAAGCAGAGCAACCAAGATAACACAAGGCTGAATATCTTACAAATTCTAAGCCTGTTGCTACAGAGCGGAGTTGTGTGTGTGAGTGCATGCGCGTGTGTGTGAGTGTCAAGCTGGGGCCCAATCTCGTGTTTAGATCTCACGGCTGGAGGTGTCATGGCCCTCATCCACACACAGTAGCAGAGCAGGAAGTATTGAAGCTCCATGACGCAAGAATGTGATGTCACTAAGACCTGTCCCATCAACCCCTGTGTCTGTGTCAGTGTAGGGACGCAGGGATAGAGACTGTGTTACTCTGTGTTTTTCTACCTCTCTCTATCTCTCTCTTTCTCTCGATGACTTGTTTCCTCCTGTCACCTTTCTCACCTTCTCTGTCACTCTCACCCGTTTTCTCTTCCTCTGTCTGTTTATTGACCTGAAGCCAGTTTGCCTCCGGTGCTGTGATATTTAAACAACTACACACACACACACACACACACGCACACACACAGACACACAAGCAGAAGACAAGTAGATGCAATAATTCACACTCAAAACTGTGTTTTTCTTATTGTTACTTGACTTGGATGTTTAAGCTTCACTGTGCAGAGTGATCGGTAGGATTTGGTAGGATGAAAAGTTTGTAATGAGCAACATGTTCATAGATTCTGGACTTTTCCAGAACATTTTAAGAATATATTATAAGTTATTTGAACTTTTTCCATATAATACAAAAATTGTTATTCAAAGAAGGGTATTTTTATAAATATTAAATATGTCTGGAGGGAGTCTGTGAGCTGTCTGTACAGACCATCATGAGGTGGTGAGATGCATCAGGATCTGTCTGATTCAGCTCAGCAGATGTCACTGATTGATCTTATTGTACATTCGTGTTGCGGTGATTAATATGCAACCAGAGCAGCTACATCACGGAAAATGAATTACATTACATACATTTTGAATTTTTATAAATGGAAAGAGTTTAACAGTCACGTGTAAGTGTAAGCTTCTAGTGTCCACAGAAACATGATGGAAATGTGACGGAAATGTGAGCACCATGGTCGTCCCAAAGAAAGTCAATGCAGTGTAATCAAATCATTATGTCATTAAACCGTCATATCCACCACACCACATGTGGAAGACTGTCTATTAAATATCCATTTTTATTTTAATCAAAGGTAACTGACCCCAAAAAGCTCCAACCACTGATGCTCCCATGTGGACTTGTGCATGCAAGCACACATACCAGCGCTCCATCAGGCATGTGCACACACACTCCCTCACATACCAATACTGTTTATATCCCCAAAAGAGATTATCGGCCAGTGAGAGCTTGTGTCCCATTGGCTCAAAGGCCGTGCTGAGGCCTCTTGAGGTGCCTGACGATGTCATCAGAGCAGGAGGGGCCAAATCAGAATGACAGAGTGGTGTTGACTGAGTGCACGTACATTGTCCATCTTCACACATGCTTCACTGTCTATATGATGACACACACACATATGTACAAATGGAGTTGTCTCTAAGCTAGTTTTAAGAAATTCAATGTATTCATACAGCGTAGATAATTGGAATTCTATTTACAGACAAATGTAGATATTTAGTCCTTTATTTTTTATTGATGTATTTATCCATGTATTATCTACTGCACCTGTCTGAGTAAACCTTGTTCATTGTAGTGCAGACCCATAGTAGGTTTCCAACAAAACACAAATGCACAGTACAGTTGCAAAAACTTACCATAAATTGGTTTTACCATATTTATACCAACACACAAAAAGCTATCACAGTAGTCTTAACAAAACAGAACATTGTAAGGTTGGCAGAGGCATTAGAGTATTTATTGCAGGGCCGTTGCAGTGTATTACATTTTAATGTCCCCTCACTCTCAGACAGTCAAACTGCATCTTCAAGCCTCTTCAGTGTCGTGTGGACATTAGGGACGTTACCTGTGGAGTGGCAGAACGGGCTCACATTTAAAAAAAAGGAGAGGATGTGCTCCAATTGCGGAGTATCACACTGCTCAAGTTCCCCTGGAAAAAATATTATTCCAGGGTACTGGAAAGGAGGCTTCGACTGATTGTCAAATTCAGTATTTGATCAGATTTAGGAGGACCAATGCGGATTCTGTCCTGGCTGTGGAACAGTGGACCAGCTTTTGGGGTTGTTGGGGGGGTCGTGGGAGTTTGACCATCCGATCTACATGTGTTTTGTGGACTTGGAGAAGGCTTATGACCATGTCCCCTAGGGAGTACCGGGGCCGTAACTACCAGCTATCTGGACCTTGTAAAACCAAAGTGAGAGCTGTGTCCGTATTCTTGGCACATAATCAAACACCAACACTGTCCCTTGTCTCTGATCCAGTTTGTGATATTCACAGGATCTCAAGGTGCAGCAAGGGTGAGGAGAGTGTCCAGTTTGGGAACCCCAGAATTGCATCTGTGCTTTTTGCAGACGGTTGTGGTTCTGTTGGCTTTATCAGACCATGACCTCCAGCACACACTGGGGCTGTTGCTTGTTGAAGCCAGCTGGGGTAGTTCAGGTAGAAGCCTCCTGGGTGTCTTCCTTTGCAGGTTATTTTTACTGGGAGGAGACCCTGGGCTAGACCCAGAACTTGCTGGAGGATTTATAAATCTCATCTGGCCTGGGAACAGCTCCTCCTCAGGATCCACCAGGAGTTGGAAAACGTTGCGGGAGAGAAGGAGGTCTGGAATACCCCACTTAGCCTGCTGCCACTGTGACCTGACCCCAGATAAGTGGAAGAAAATGGATAGATCTTCAAGCTTTTAAGTCTTAAGGCTTAGTTTGAATTTGGCTTAGACATCTGGCTGGCATTTTGGGAAAAGGCATACAGATATGGTGTCATTGATTCAAGATTCAATACTTTATTGCCATACAACTCGGTGCAAGTTGCTAGGGATTTGCTTCAGTGTGCTCAGGACATCAACAAAGAAAAAAAAAACAGCAAACCACATATCTGTTGATACCAAGAAGTGTGACTAACTATAACTAGTAACCAGCATTTTTTCCCATGAAAACATTTAGTTTTATATTAGTCAACTATGATTTACTATAACCACGTGCAAGTGTGGTATATATGTTTTTATATTAATATGCATTTGTATATTAATATACATATTCATCTTTTTGAAACAGTAAAATTGCAACCCAACAGAATTACAATAATATAAGAAATAGTCAAAGTACAACAGCCTAATTTGGTAAAAAAAAAAAAGTATTTAAATTTTGACTGATAAAGACAATACAGCTTTTAATGCTCTGGTACAAGATCCTTTTATAAACAAGTTTGAACTCAACAAGAGAGAGAATCTCTTTAAATCAGTATCATTATGATCATCCATTATAAATATCACAGTTATCTTACAGAGATATACTTTATCTACATTACAGTCACCAGGGGCTATTACATTATGTTTAGAAATGATTAACTGTGTTACATGACTGGTGTGTAAATTTATTAAAGAAACTGGTAGAATATTTATACTTATGATAATAGTGTTTTTTATTGGTGTGTGTTGCAGTGGTCACCCTTTACTCCACACTGGGAGGTCCAGCCATTGCTCACGGACTGAATGAGACTCAGGTCACCCACGTCATCACCAGCAGAGAGCTCCTGGAGACCAGACTCAAGGTTAGAACACACAAATGTATACTGAAAATGAGATACTATTTCGTTTAGAGTAGGTGTAGAGGTAAAACTGTGTGTGGATGAAGTATGAGTAATCCAATGCTGCATTGAGAAACACTAGTTTAGTAGTAGTTTTGGCATTGATAGAGATAGCTACACTGACATAACTGAGTTATGTGCACTTGTGCGAGATGAGTTCAGTAGTTCTGTTGTAACAGGCAAATTAAACAAATAATATCAAGCAGTGATGAATGGTAATTACCATATTTGTGTTGTACAGCCTGTATAGCCCACTGAGATATGTGACATTGGGCATCACCAGCTACAGTTTCAGGTCCCCAAAAGTCTAAGGACATAATGACAACATAAAAAAATGTAAGAAATGCCATCTCCACAGAGCCTTTGATGGGAAGTTGCAAAAAAGTTTGAGAGTTGAAAAGGAAGTTTTGTTAAAAAATATTGTCAACAGTACAGAATTTACTGTCAGCATTACAAAAAGTCCAATATAACAGCTGTAAACAAAATGTTACAGTTTGAAGGACATTTCCATTCATCAGAGTCTACAAAGGTTGCCAAACTCCTTTCCTGCAAATAAAAAGAAATGTAAACTAAGTTACGGTAAGTCTCACTGATCCAAAGTCAGAGATGTCACTTCCTGACATCAACATGTCTTTTGTCTGCATGACTACAACAATAATATTATAACAATAGTCAGCTTCTAGGCAACCATTATCCATCAGAGAGAATCTGAGAGGTGAAGTGTGTCACCATAGAGACAGAAATAAGGAGAAGTGCACGTGCTGGATGTTAAGGATCGTTTTGGACTCGTTCAGTCCCCAAAGACAAATGGTGCTCTGGCAATTCATCTCCCCTTTTATCAAGGTGGCATAAACACAGCTCCTCTGCTCACGCTCACACATCCCCTCTCAGCCCAAATATTGATGAAGATGATGTGCATGTTTCTTGACTCAGAAGAAACCTGGTTTTCATCATGTGCTAATGTGTAAACAATATATGTATGCTTGTCATATTTGTTCTCATGCTTTGTGTGTGTGTGTGTGTGTGTGTGTGTGTGTGTGTGTGTGTCAGGCTATCCTAATTGAAGTTCCGAGGCTGCAGCATATCATTGTAGTGGACAACACACCAACCTCATGGCCTGGATTTCCACGTGGCATCAGTGTCCACAACATGGCTGCTGTTGAAAAGCTGGGAGCCAAGCCTGAAAATGGTAAGCTGTGTGGGATTGTGTGTGTTTTCTGATTTAAGTACAGAGATTTGGTCTTTGCGTCTTTGTCTTCCCCGGAGTCATTGTCCTGGTCGGTACAGAAAGCTAATAGGACCACTGACTAGCAAGCGGCAGCAGCTAACACAGTTAACACATGGAGCAGTGCATCGGTAAGATACTTCCTAAGTTACAAGACTAAAGGTCAGTGTTGCAACATTATTATTACAATATTCTGCAACTATCTAGCTAATGAAAACAGTTTAGTTGACTATTAGGGGACAGCCCTAAAAACAACTGCTGTTTTCTACAGAGTTCTGTGTCTCATGAGGCTCTAAATCATATAAATAGGTTTTCCATCACAAATTAAATTCCAGTGAAAAACAATGATAAAACCAAGGCACCCGACTTCAAATGTTGATTATAGCAGCTTTAAGGCAGATGAATAAAAATCATATTAAAGTTAAATGTTATCTGGAAGGCATTTTTTCCTTGACACGTGAGCACCTTCAACAGATGCCTGAATAAAAAGATATCAGTATCAGCCTTCCAAAACCTTGACCCGACCTCAGCCTAATGCTCCACCCATACGTTTCATACTGTGCATCTCCATCCCACTCCAATCCTGGTGGGGGTGGATTGGTATCAGTCCCATTAGGTCATGTGAATGAGGAAGTGCTCACATCTGTGTCAGATTAAGGTCGATACGATGCTTATTCAGTTAGTGGATTGGATGAATGTGGAAAAAATGTTCCCCCCTCTACGCCTTTTATTGTGGCCCCTTGAACTGACTGACCCAAAACAAGAGAAGCTGGTAGTGTCATGTGCAGATAAAGAGGGAAGGATGTAAGTTTAGGAAGGGAGGATGGAGCACTGGGATATAGGGGAGGGTCATGTTTACACACAGCACTGGAACTTCACATGACATCAACTCGCACACACTCCTACATGCCTCGTATCCGAGTAAGAGGAAAGAGGAAGATGGGAGGCCCTCCCTTTGTGACTGTAATGTACTCTCCCTTCCTCTCCTGTGTGCCTCCGTTCATCCTCTGTTTGGTTTTTTTGGGGCCAGACATCTTAGTTCTGTTTTTGTTCCACAAAATGCCAAACAGAGAGGAAAATCAAGACCAATCTCTCATTTTCCACATGAACAATACACTGCTGTTAGCTTAGCAAACCGCTGACTGGTTTTGTTTCCCTGTTTAAACCAATTGGATCTTTAATTATTTATTCAGACATGAGGTTGTCTAGATAATTTCATCCATATCCTAGTTCAGTCAGACAACTCACGTTTGAAATGTTTATTACAGCAGTATATAGTTCGATTTTGGCGTCTAGGCTCCGAATTCATCATTCCCCGCAGATATGCTTACAGTGGGGAGAACAAGTATTTGATACACTGCCGATTTTGCGGGTTTTCCCACTTACCAAGCATGTAGAGGTCTGTCATTTTCATCATAGGTACTCTTCAACTGTGAGTGACGGAATCTAAAACAAAAATCCAGAAAATCACATTGTATGATTTTAAAATAATGAATTTGCATTTTATTGCATGACATAAGTATTTGATCACCTACCAGCCAGTAAGAATTCCGGCTCTCACAGACCTGTTAGTTTTTCTATAAGAAGCCTTCCTGTTCTCCACTCATTACCTGTATTAACTGCACCTGTTTGAACTCATTACCTGTATAAAAAACACCTGTCCACACACTCAATCAAACAGACTCCAACCTCTCCACAATGGCCAAGACCAGAGAGCTGTGTAAGGACATCAGGGACAAAATTGTAGATCTGCACAAGGCTGGAATGGGCTACACGACCAGGCAGCAATAGCTTACAGAACGACAGGCAGCAATACTGATGCAGGGCAGCAGCGGCATTGACAGAGCAGAGAGAGAGCTGGGAAATTTTGCATCGTAAATAGACCGCCAGATTGGAAGAGGGTGCTTGGTTTGTTAATATGGAGAGTGAGGCATGTGGTGTGTATAGCAGCGCAGCTCGAGTTGTCTGCCTGAACTAGCTCGCAGGAGTCGCTCCATTTTTGCATTCCTTGATTTCAAAAGTCACGACCTCTTGATTAGAGGCCCTGACTGTAAACCTCACCTACTGGCAGGCAATGATGCAAACAGTCCATCAACTGTGTAACTTAATGCAACAACAGCATCAAGAATCATGGGAAAACCGGGAGGCCATCTGAGGGCTCTCCCTAAGGCCACATTAAGACCAACTTTGGCTAAGCGTAAAAAAAGCCACAGCCCAGTATTCGTTTCAGTGGAGCCAGGGGCTCCTGCAGGACATTGCAAGGTCCATCAGGAACGTTGACCTTGGTTCAACTGTTGCTGCAGTGCAATGTGACGTCATCTAGCAAGGCACTGCATCAGTCAATCAAATGCATGTAATAGCACACTCCTAGTTACTTTCCAATGAGGACAATTGTTTTCTGCTGTTTACCTCAGGGAAAATAAAATAGTTGCCACTTTCCAGAGTTGTAAAATCCTGCCTCATAGTTTTATAAACTGCTGTGCAGCATCCAATAAGCTTTCATATTCGCAGATCCTTTACCCAAACAGGACTTCCTGGATTGTATTTCATTGTCGTGCCTGAAGCAACACAACCCCGACAACATAGCCCCTTGCATTGTTTTAATACAGGGCAGGTCTGAATCCTTCAACCAAAGAGCTTTTTGGATGGTCTAACAGCATCTGAAACCCCCTCCCTCCACACCTTTCCGACAACAAATTTAGGGGGGCTGCGACACACCCACTTTAAGACTGTGAAGGATTGCAGATTAGGTGCCAGTCTAGTCTCTCAAGCTCTCGTATTTCGTTCAGTTCAATAAGCAGCTACAAACACTTGTTCCTTCAGATGTGGTTGGTGACATGTACTGTGAACTATTTAATTTCAAGCATTACTTCAGGTCTTTAGAGTTTGCACCACTGCCTGCAACTTTCAGTGTCAGCTGAAGTAGGGTACTTGTTGCATGGATGCAATATGAGAGAAGATTTAGGCCTACTGACAGGCAGGGCTGGATCAATAGAAGATAACATAGTGCCCACCAAATATACACAATTGAAGTCTTACTAAAAAGGGAAAATAAAGTACACGAATAAAGAGGAGAGACTGAGGACTGCAAGAGAGAGTGTCAGAAAGAGGATAAAGGAGATAGTGTTTTTTGGCTAGCACAGTCAGACACAAACTCTGCATTGTGCCAAGAGGGGCCTGATTGTTCAATATCACAGCTGACTATTTTCCATCCATGTCGTCTTTCACACAGCCTCTATTGAATTAAAGACACTTTTAAATATTTCCCTGGACTTTGACACCCGCTGCATTTTCCTTTATCCAGTCGGTTTATCCTGCACACATGCAGCAAATGGAACAGACGGAGGCTATTACTTTTATTCCAAGAATGCGTCTGTGTGGACAATGTATAAACAGTGAGGCATTTTTTGTGCATAGCTGTTACAGTTTAGTCTGCGTTCCTGTGTGTGTGTGTGTGTGTGTGTGTGTGTGTGTGTGTGTGTGTGTGTGTGTGTTTGTAGGGGTGGTCAGTTAAAATATAAATACAATACACACAAATCACATTATCATCTTACAAGCCATGAGTTTAATGCAGTTTTGTTATAATCAGCTCCTATGTGTGTTTGTGCATGTACGTGTGTTTTCTCTGTTCACATTACAGCGGCACGTGAGCGTAAGCAGCCGCTGCCTTCAGACATTGCAGTCATCATGTACACCAGCGGATCCACAGGCATACCAAAGGGTGTCATGATCTCCCATAGCAACATCATCGCTGGTATCACGGGCATGGCCGAGCGGATACCCAACCTGTGGTAGGCAACACAGACTCATCACAGAGAAAAAATTCAATGTGATATATGGATGAGGGACATGTAAGTTTTTTCTACCTGTGTAGTAAGACCAGATGGTGCCTGATTTTTAATTTAGGCAAAGTTCCTGTATGGTTACCCAACAATTACCATTTGAGTAGGCTGACTTTATTTAGTAACATTTAGTAGAAAAATATGTTTATATTCCTCAAAGCAGGGTATCAAAAAATGTATTTTTTCTGTACCATCTGTACCAGATTGGATATTTATATTTTTAATGGCACTAGTGTCAAAAAATGCTTTTTCACTTTCTTGCCACCGTCACGTGTACACTAAATATGAAGTTACAGCCACCAGCCGGTTAGCTTAGCTAAGGATAAAGACTGGAACAGGGGGACCAGTCCTTTAACCCAAACTAATTTAAGCCATTTGAATGGTGGAGCTCTTTGTGGGAGGTGGGCTGCCTGGGAAGGAGGGATGTTTCCGGGCAAATAAATATCTTCGTACATTTTACGTTACTATTGATGTGAGCAAAATAATACATATACATATTGCCTTTTTATTTGTCTCACTGATACTGTTTGCCCAAACTGAGCTGAGTGCTGTATACACCTCAATCCATTTATGCTTTAGGGAATCTGCTCAGCTCAGTGTATTCCTTAGAAGAGACAAGCAGTTTAAATTGCATTATAATAGCACCGAGAGGACATGAACTTCCTCTAATCTGCTGTCTCAAACTCTCTTCTTTCATTAATAAGTCACTGGCTATAATGTCGATGGCTATAAGGTTGTGTAATGGGTTTAAGGAAAAATGCCAAAAGTTCTTTAAGGCTAACTTCTTGTTCGAGGCGTCCGTGTCAACTGAGCACGTGCACAAGTATGAGTCAGCCAGCTAGTACCATCATACAACACAAGTGTTTACATTAAAACAAAAACCGACCCTTCTCTCTAGGGAAGGAGACTGGGGTGAGAGGAAATGCAGAAGGGAGGGAGTTCAGTATGAGTGGAGGAAAAACCTGGGAGGACAGAGGTTAAAGGGCTTACGGATGTTACAAAATCAATCAGTCTTCTGAGAAAAATTATATCTTTCCTTCATGTATTAAGTAATATGACTGTATGACTTGCATACATGTCCAGTGAAATGTGGTTCCCTAGAATTTGGAGGATCCAGAAGTACAAATAGATCATTTTCAAGTCCAAGCAAAGGAAAAGTCGGCCTTTAAAAAAAAAAAGCTTTTTAAATTAAGATTACTCTCATATGATTTATGATTTCAGAGATTTTCAGATCCTGATAGTTTGAATTTTAATTAAAACTCTTATACAGCACATTGTATGTATGTATTACATTTATTCAGCTTTTTTAACTTAACTAGTTTGAATGAGCTGGCACTGATTACATTCAGAACTGTTTATAAGAGTGTCTTTGTGTCTACAGTGAGGAGGACACTTACATTGGCTACCTGCCTCTCGCCCATGTACTGGAGCTCAGTGCAGAGCTCGTATGTGTTTCTCATGGCTGTAGGATCGGCTATTCCTCACCTCAGACTCTCGCTGACCAGGTACAGTAAGACTGAAACAAGACTGTTTTTGCATTTCATCATAAAGTTAATGTTACTAATGTACTCCATTAAGGGTATACACTAGATTGTTTTGCCAGGTGAGCTCTTTTAGCAAATTATATTGCATACATACTGTATGTCCATGTTGTACAGCTAGGGCTGGTTATCGAACATCAGTATTTTGAGTACCAACCACAATGTGTCTGTAGACTCAATTATGAATATCTGTAAAGTATAGAAAGTTGACTCAAACCATAACTGTGTAACTTATTTTTAAGTCAAACCTCTTGTGGTTGCTTGTTTTAAGACAATTACGAATGCTAGCACACATATACTATCATGACGCACTCACAGTTTTGGAATCCTTTGGAGTGTACCTCAAACGAAAGCTTAATGTCGTTGGACAACGATGTTGTCTGTGTAGTATGTGTGTGATTTAATCTGTCACCACAGATCCAGACAATAACCAGCAGTTCAGTTCCACCATAGTGCCATAAATAACTGCATCTTCTTGGTGAACACCAGCAAATTTGTCACTGTATCAGATAGTAATTGGTGTGTTCAAGCACTTGAACGCATCGGGTGGTCCCATTTCCCGAGTTGGGAAGTCATTCGTCTGGCTTTGTTGTGTTTGTGAGCTTTAAGTCATAATGTGGAAACAACATGGATGCTACAAAGAAGATGTGTTGTATTTTTATTTCTCAGAGCATTTAAACAGTGACAATTCAAGTATGCAGTTTGAAGCCTCATATTTTATTAGAGCTGGACGATAAATCAATTCATTTGAATTTACGTTAAAATCGTAAAAAGATTGATTAAAATTTGTAAATCAGATGTGGTTATTTTAAGGCCATATCACCCAGCCCTGCTTTATATGAGTGAATTTGTCCCAGACTTCTTCCGTAAAAAAAGACTAAAATATTGCTTTACATGACTTCAGATAATTATGGATGCAGGATTATTTAATGCATCCCTCTTATTGCACTTAATGAACAAAAACAATGTAAAATAGATTCAAGTCTTAAAATAAGAAGTTTCAAATCTGATGTGTGCCATCATTCTTGCTTCTTTTTCCCTTCCAAAGTCAACCAAGATCAAGAAGGGAAGCAAGGGAGACACCAGCGTCCTGCAACCCACTCTGATGGCAGCTGTCCCGGTATGTCAAAACAGTACACTCAGCACAACTCCACGCATTATACAGTATAATGTTTGAGAACCCTTCGCCTTCAAAGTATCTCTCATTGAGTCACTCTCCCTAAAGTCTGTTTCAAACATTTCAGTTTAGCCTCGTCTGGCAGCGGGTCAGATTTTACTCTGTCTCTGTTCATAGTCCTGCTATGGAGTAGCAGTGACGGAGTCCAGCAGGCCTGAATCTGCTGGACTCTGCCGCCTCTCTGGACCGACTGTGACGTAAATACTCTGTGCCTCCTACCGCTGGCCAATGCTGCTCTTCATCACCAAACCATGTTAGACACCATGGGGCATATTTGAAGTTGGCTAGTCTTGCTTGTCTTTGAAGTGTATTTGAGTGATTAATCCATTTCATCAGTGATGCCAGGATGGGCTTTACTCAAAACCTATCATGGCTGTATTTATTTTGTCAGTGAAAGAGCAGAGCGGGTTCTTTTATTAGTTTTAGAGGGAGTTTACAATTTGAGGAAAAGTTTCATCTAATACGGTATCCACACAGCCATCAGTGTGGTTAAAGAAGGATTGCACAAAAAATATGAGGATTAAAGCAGCTATAATTCATATTTTTATATGAACAATGCATGAAATGAGGCTATGTACATGAAAGAGGTCACTCATAGTGACAAACCCACAGAGAATTAATGTTTGACTCTTTAGTTCGCCTCAGTTCTACATTGTGTTTTAGCGTCTTTCAGGTGATTGTTTTGGTTGTACAGACTACAACTTTTGGTTCAATCTCACTGCTGTCATCAGCCTCATTTCCAGCAGCAGCAGGCAGCTGCTTTTAGTGAACAAGCTCTAAACTCCACTGTAAGCTTCCTGCCCAGCACCAAGTGGCGGACAGACAAAGTTAGCAAATAGCTGGTGAACATAGTGAAGAATTTACCCGCTAAAGAGTTAGATATTTCTCTCAGGAGATGATGGAGACCAACCAAAACCAGCCTGAATATTGGACTTAAATTCACCAGGTGGCCAGAAACGTGATGCCAAATGAAGGCTAAGGAAAGCACCTTTTAACAACAATGCTATTCAGAGTGCTTTATATAAGACAAAAAGACTTTATTAATTTCAAAACCCCAAAGATGAGTAATGTGATGTTTGTATATTGGTCAATCAATGGACATGATGAAACTCTAATCATTTTAATGTAGAAATTTGAATTGACTAAACCCCAGAGGAGATTATAATTCCATTGCTCATGTTGGCTAGACTGTACGTCGGAGAGTCCAAGACCGTATGCCCTTGCCGCTGTATTCTCTTCCTCTCTCTCACACCATAAGCTCAGCCCCACCCCCACCCCCATCTCCCAGTGGTCGTAGTGTAAAGGGCAGAGGGCCCCAGTGTCTGGAACCATTCACAGCTGTAAACAGAACGTGAGAAAGCCCCATGTGGTTATCCCCACGACACACACACTCATACACACATACTCACACACACGCATACAAATTGTTTGCTGTGATATGACAACAGGCTGCTGCATGAATCCTGTGTCGACTTCCTCTCTCACTGCTTTAGCTTCACACACATATTCACACACCAACAAACACACACACACACACACACACACACACACACACACTCACAGTGGGAACAGCTGTTTTTTATTGTTTTTTTGTTTTGTTTTGTTTGTGCCCTTTTACCCATTTAAGTCCAGCTTTTGAAGACCGATCTGGAAGATGAAGTGTTCTTGATCTGTGGGTTGCGGTTCTCTCCACTGCAGCACCATTGACAGTAGAACCTCAAAAAACCAAGTCAAGTTAGGCATGCAACTCGATTTGCAACATTTACTTGTCAAACAATTGGATAATCGGTTAAAAGTTTTGAGTCATTTTTTAAGAAAACATTCCAAGATTTTGTGATGTGAATATCTTTGAGAGACACTGATTAACATTTTTCACAATTTTACACATTTTATGGACCAAACAACTTTTCGATCAATCAAGAAAATGTTCACCCCATTCATGCCTAGCACCAAACACACCATGACATTTTTAATGCATCTAGCTGCCAAAACAGAAACAGAAACCAAAACAGATAAAACAAGAGTGAGTATTGGACATTGGACATGAATGTTAATGTGGCTCTATATTGATGTCTATGTAGGCCAAGAGTCTCAAACTAAAATTGGCTTGGGTCCATAGGTGGTATTGTCATCTCATAGGAGGGCCACTTCAATGTTCAAGTGCTAAATGAAGGGCCAGAAGTGATCCCTGGACCAGCAGTTTGAGATCCTGATGTAGGCTATTTCTCTTTATATTACTTTTTGCCTTTTGCTGTACTTTTCTGTATTCCCCCCCATGCAATAGTCAAACAGTTGCTGTAAATGGGTAAAACAGCCTCTTACTGTACAGTGAAGGATTTAGATTTGAGTTTGGTGCACAGGTTTCACTCACTTCTACAAGTTTACTATAGTTCTCTGTTTTATTTAACCAACCCAGAGATCCACCCTTGTGTTGATTCCTTTGGTTTCCCTCTGGTTTTGTAGGTCACTGGTTGTGAGTAATCCATTGGGGAGCCTTGTTGTTATGCAACTAAACTTAAGAACACATGTTCTCCAAATTTAACTAATTTGTTCCTCTGGACTTCTGGATTTTTTCTGTTCTAAGTTTTATGAGCTCTGACCATCTTAAATCATCTTGTGCTCTGACATTGGGTCATGTACGGCCAGAGCTGCAACTACAGACCCAACTTAAGCTTCCTTAATGGATCAGGATTTGGTGGCGTGTAGCAGCCTAGTTGCTCATTGAGACACCCACGCCTCGCTGTCCCGTTTAAGATGTGTATAAGAAGCTACGATGGCCGCAAAACCAGTGAAAAACTATCTAGAGCTACTGTTTGTCCGTTCTGGGCTACTGTAGAAACATGGTGGTTCAACATGGCGGACTTTGTAGAAAAGGCTCTCTCTGTAGATAAAAACTGCTCATTCTAAGGTAATAAAATCAAGAATTTTTATATTCAGGTGATTATACACTAATGAAAACATACCTATTAATATTTTATTAAATTTCTGTCAATAGATCCTCCTAAATGTTACACACTGGACCTTTTGTTTTACCATCCCAGTAAAAACAAATTATGCTACCAGAAGACAATCCCTAAATATTAAAGATATCGCAAATGTCTTTTGGTTTTGACTTCATCAAGCATATACTTACTGCGCCTCCGTACTTCAGATCTAATACTTTGGTTTTACCTTGGTTCATGGCAGAATCTCCCCTTTAAGGTGCCAGAGCTCTGGGTGGGCCCCATATTAGGAGATGTAATGGCAATGCAACAGTGCTGCAACTCATATCTCTCAAACTTGTATCCTTTCACTTGGCAGAAGTACAGAAGCAGGACTTCCTAACCAGCATGTATCTTATCTTCCCATAGTCTCTGATGTGTCCTCACTCTTCTTAATCTCTTAATCTCTTTCTTTCTCTCTCTCACCTCCATCCCTGTCTTCATTCCTGGTTCCAGGAGATCATGGATCGTATCTATAAGAACGTGATGACCAAGGTGGAGGAGATGAACTGTGTCCAGCGAACACTCTTCATTCTGGCATACAACTACAAACTGGAGCAGCTCGCCAAAGGATACAGCACACCTTTATGTGACAAGTGTGTAGATAAATTGTTACAGTGGCATCTTGATAGATATGTTAATGGTATACCTCCCCGGTAATCTACCCATGCCTTATATTTATCCATCCAGGCTGGTGTTCAAGAAAGTTCGCTCTCTGCTGGGAGGTCAGACGCGAGTCTTGTTATCAGGTGGAGCGCCGCTCTCCGCCGCCACCCAACGCTTCATGAACGTGTGTTTCTGCTGCCCGGTGGGTCAGGGATACGGCCTGACTGAGACCTGCGGTGCTGGAACCATTAGCGAGCGTAAGCATTAGTATACAGTTTATTATACAGATGTAAAAAAAAAAAACAACCAATATTTAGGAATATCCATCACGTCACAATACAGAATAAAACTGGCCTTAAAAACCTCTCTGCACTCTCTCTGCACACTACACAAATGCTTGTTATTTCCACCCTCTCTGGCGGTCAGTAAGAAGAACATAGAACTCTCCACACAGTGTTTCTATTTGTCCTGACAATGGACAAGATGTGATGTTGCGTTGCATCTCAGTGGACTACAAGGCAACGTTACAAATTTTTCATTGATGTTTTTGATAGGACAGAATTACTTGATATTCATGCTAACATTCTAAACTAAACTGGTGACCATGATAAACATTATACCTGCTAAACATTAGGATGTTAGTATTGACATTGTGTGCATGTTAGCATGCTGATGTTAGCATTTAGGTCTAGCACTGCTGTGCCACTGTCACAGAGCGCAGCTGTAGACTCTTGGTCTATTTGCAAACATAACTCAATGTGGAGGACATCTGTACATCAACAGTAACGACTGCTTTTTAACTAATCTGAAATAGTAATTTGTTCCAAATGAAGGTTCATTAACTGGAAAAGTTGCACATTATTGAGCAGTTGTGGGAAATGACTTAGAAAATGTTTCCACAATCTGCAAGCAGAGATAAAAGCAGCGGGAGGACATGAAGAGGGAATTTTACAGCAGGGATTGGAAAATGGATGAGAGGAAAGTAATAAGAAGATATATTGTGCGTGGGTTGTAGTTAACAGAGAAGGGAGTAGGTTATCTTTTTTGACAGTGGTCTGGAAACATCAACATTAGCAACAAATCATTGTACATTTAGAACCCAGTTAGCATAATGCTTTTAGTCTGTTGTTAAACTGTCAAACTAAGGGATGTGATTTGTGCTCAGGTTCTGTAAAATACATTCACGTGATTGTCTTCCCCAGAAAATGCAGACATTCCTTACAGCTTCTTGTAAACAGGGAAATCGTTTTCTCATGTCTTTGTAATGTGCGTAAAGTCATGCCACTCATATCTGTGGCGGTAATAGCTGTCCCAATGCTCTTTTTTAAACTTTTTAGCTTATCTTTTGGCTTTCATTGCAGACAAATATGTCAGACTGTAGAAATACTCCCAGCCTTTCCCAGGCAGACTAGACCAACCGAATGGCCCACTGCCTGTCACTCTCCACTGTGGTCATGAGCCAGGAAAACACTGTTTTGTGGACATTCCTTTGGGATGGGGTTTCCGTGGCAAAGGAACAAGTGAGGTCGTGTTGCTATGGTAATAAATGTCGTTCCTTGATGCTAGTGTGCTTCCTTATCATGTTTGTGTGTTGTCTGTTCCAGTGTGGGATTACAGCACTGGGAGAGTGGGAGGTCCACTGGTTTGCTGTGAGATCAAGCTCAAAGACTGGGTGGAGGGTGAGTGAGACAGGGAGAGGAGCTACACACACACACACACACACACACACACACACACACACACACACACACACACACACACACACACACACACACACACACAGAATCCATGATGAAATGATACACTATGTGTCATGCAGATTCACATCAGTCCTTGTTGCTTTTTTTCCCTTATGTGTCATCTCATGCACACACACTAAAGGTTTTCTAAGAACGCCAATTCGTCCACCATTAATCATTTCCCTGGCAGCATTTCAGGAGAGATCACTGTAGCTGGTCCATAACCTTGTAAGGAAAGCATACTTCTTTTCCTTCCACTCCTGTACAACCTCTATCTTTTTACGTAAGGGATCATAACTCAGTTTTATTGCACTCTGTTGAATCTTGATACATATCATGTTGAGTTTATTGCCTGCTTGGCTCACTGAGCAGAAATAGAATTTAAAGTAAACATGCTGTCAGGTTTTTATCGCTGCAAAAATGAGTACGTAGCAAAATTGTGAGTTTTGAATGTTTTTTATTGCAGTTTTCATTTGCAATCCGCTGATTTTAAACCCTGCTTTTAGGTGGTTACCGTAGCACCGACAAGCCACATCCTAGAGGAGAGATTCTGGTTGGTGGACCCAACGTAACCATGGGATACTACAAGAACGAGGCAAAAAACCATGAAGACTTCCTTGTAGATGAGAATGGCCAGCGGTGGTTCTGCACAGGAGACATCGGAGAGTTTCAAGAAGACGGATGCCTCAAGATAATTGGTGAGGAAAGGGATGACGACGTTTAAAGTGAAGTGTAGTGGATATACGGCTGGTTTTACAGGTGCAGATTGGGGTAATCTGTCTGGGTTCGGATGTTGCTACATCAAAAGCACAAATGATCAACATTGTGCCCCACATTCCTGGATTTTTTCCAGACAACCTCTCTGCTCCTCTCCCATCCATCAGTCTGGCAGGAAAACCTTTTAACAAATCAGATTTTACCTCACTTCCCAGAATTACTCCACAGTCTTGTTTACTTCAGTCAGCCAGAACCCAGAATTCTCTCTGTTATCTAGACAACACTGGTCAGATATACACAGTTGAATGGAAAATGTGTGCTACCCCCAGCTTCTTCCCTTCTCTTTAAGAAATACTAACATTTCCACAATTGTAGATGTGCACGTTATTACAGGCAGGTTTCTATGCTGTGCTTCCAGATCGTAAGAAAGACTTGGTGAAGCTGCAGGCAGGAGAGTACGTCTCCCTGGGAAAGGTGGAGGCCATGTTGAAGAACTGCTCTCTGGTCGACAACATCTGTGCCTATGCCAACAGGTGTGTGTGTGTGTGTGTGTGTGTGTGTGTGTGTGTGTGTGTGTGTGTGTGTGTGTGTGTGTGTGTGTGTGTGTGTGTGTGTGTCAGTGCATTGATTGAAAGGACTACAATGTGATTCTATCGTTCAGATGTATATGTCAATACACAAGTCATGATCAATTATTTGCTATGTTTCTAAGATGATCTATTGAAGTAGTTTTAGCTTAGCTTCTCCTCAGTTACTAAACTGCACCTATCAATCATTTTTTTTGTAAATAGGAAAATGACTGCAAATAATGTCAAGAGCTCACTGATTTACTTACTTAATTGTTCAGTCTCACCACTCTCGTCAACCCCCAACCATGTTTCTATCGACAACAGGCTGCTGCTTACAGCAAAAAGCTATAAAAACCTCTCACAGCATGCTCTTTTTCTATCATCTGCGACATTTACAGGAAAAAGCTTACTTCTCCAAGTGTCAAGACAATAACTACTACGTAACTGCATTCAACATTATATAAAGCAGCCCTGCACTGTTTTCTGTTGTCAGTAAGTTAATACATTTGACAAACATCCTAAGGGTTACAGGGGCTCCATGTAGACAGTTAAAAGATATAAAACCATTTATGTGTCAACTTGATATATATAACACCAGTCTTTTGTGTGACAAGAACTGAATACCAGTTTGTTAAACATTGAAGGTTCCTTGTAGAGTTTTTGATTAGTAGCGCTATAGAGACATGTCTTTACCAGTGAGTCCCCTTTTCATTTCTTCCCATGTACGTGCACAAGGACACACAAGCGCGAGGTAGGTGTAAATGACTAGATACACATTCGTGCCACTGGTTTCACACAGTTCCACAGGTCTGTCGGTGGCGTTAATGCACTAAGTGTTAAGAAAAAATACTTAATAGTTAATGCTTTTTGAGGAAGGAAATGCTTTCATCGTGTTTGTTAGACCTCAAGGACACATGCGATGAGTTTTGGTAAATAAAACTGAAAGTTAACAGTTGACACTGTAAGTATGTGATTTATTGAAGCATATTATAGAGCATTTTAAAACTATAATGTTTATTGGATTTCTTTTGACAAGGTAACTTCCGTTCACCTGGTTGCGTTATACTGACTGATCGATTGCCTGTTCATTATTTTTACATCCTGTTCAGTAAAGTTGCTCTTACCAATCTTTTTCAATCAACAATGGATCAATGATGTGAAAGGAGTAAAACTCACAAAGAATTTTCCCCAACTGTGCAGGTCTTCTTCACTCTACAGATGTTAAAGGCTTAGTAAAAACAGGATTGAACCCAAAAGCACATCATTGTGACAATGAAGCTGTTTAGCTTCTTTCAGCTCTTTGTTTTGGTTTTATTGTCCTCAACTTTACTGTTTTGGTTCTGTCTCACTGCTCTAATCAGTGTCAATTTTCAGGGAATAAAAGCTCAGATGCAGCCCTGTACACTACCTGCCCAGCACCAATTTACAGACAGAAGTTAGCTACTAGCTCGTTAATTAAGTTGAACAAATCCCCTTAAAGGTCCAATGTGTAGGCTTTAGTGGCATCTAGTGGTGTAGTTGCTTATCTCAACCCCCTCACTTCACCCTCCCCTTCTAAGCACAAAGGAGAAACAGAAAGGTGGCCACAAAATGCGTGAAAAACGCAAACGCCCCTATCTACAGCCAATGTTTGTCTGTTCTGGGCTACTGTAGAAACATGGTGGTTCAACATGGTGGACTTCATATAAGAGACTCCCTCTGTAGATAAAAACTACTCATTCTAAGGTAACAAAAAAAACTGTTCTTATTTTTTAGGTGATTATACCCTAATGAAAACATACCTATGGATATTATATACCATTTCTGCCAATAGATCCTCCTAAATGTTACACACTGGACCTTAATGCTTTTGGCTGATGGTACACTTTGGAACTTTTAGGTAGATTATAGCTTACAAATTTACATTACAACATATTTTTTATTTTGAAGATGATGTTGCCCCCCATTTGATACCATAAAAAGCATTTTACACTTACACCTTGACCCTGATTTAGAATCTGAACATATTTCTGCAGCCTGAAATGTTTATTCATTTGTGTCACAGTGCAACAGATACTGTTTTATAGATATCTGAAGGTTGCAATCTGTTCACACTGCTCAGGCATGTGTTGTTTCTATTTCCTTTTATGGGGAAAAAATCACTTGGTGATGTTTGTGCTCAATCACCCATACTCGGCCGAAACATCCAGTTGCTAGAATACACACAAAGAGCAGTGCCATTTAATAACTCTGACGCCCCTCTTGACGTCTCCTCTCCTCCCGCTCTGCAGTGATGAGACGTACGTGATTGGCTTTGTGGTGCCCAATCAGAAGCAGCTGCTGACTCTGGCTGACCAGTACGGTATCCGAGGCTCATTGGAGGACCTGTGCAACAACAAGGCCATGGAGGAGCTGGTCCTCAAGATCATCACTGAGGCTGCTCTGGCAGGTGAGAAGAGGTCAAAGTGGAGGTTAAACTTTAGCTCAGAGCTCCAGTCACGGGTCAGTACAGGTTGGACCATGTTGGACCTTTTTAGTGTTGAGTTAACGTTTCGTCTTCTTCTGTTGTAGCCCAACTGGAGCGCTTTGAGATGCCTCGCAAGATCCGCCTGAGCCCAGACCCGTGGACTCCTGAGACTGGATTAGTGACTGACGCATTCAAGCTCAAACGCAAGGAGCTGAAAACACACTACCAGGACGACATTGAAAGAATGTACGGTGGGAAATAACAAGGACCAGCACGGCAGTGGTCATTCTCAAAGCACAGACCAACACTTGACTCTGAACGCTCCCAGTACCCTCTCACTGCTCCCCTATTCCCTCCTCCATGAACATAAGAGCCACTGTGATCTGTGGTAAATTTTAACACTCCTCTCAAAGAAAGGAGGATAAAGATAGGGTGTTACTTGAATTTGTAACTAAAAACAGACTGAAAAAGGTTGCTGAAAAGACAAAGTGTTGAGGAAAACACAAAGATCCCTGTCCACTGCTGCCTTTCCCCTTTCCCGCCCAGGTGTATGACCTCTGTGTGGTGATTTTTATTGTTTCAGATGTGAGTTATGAAACAGATGGTGTTTTAGCTGACGTTGTCTGTTGAACTCTGAGTGCCACAGCAGAAGCTCAGGTTGGGTTGACATGTTTGTTGTTTTTTGTTCACCCATGAGACATTAGACTGGTTACGTTACGTTACTAAATCTCTCCTTTAGTTCCTTTTGATCCTCCAGTAAAGCTCCTTTAACTTAAAGATTTTAAATTCATTTTCCCTGCAGGTCAGGAGACGGTTAACTCTTTTTGTTTCTTTTTTTTCTCTTTTGTTCACATGTTTTGTTCTGTCAGTGGTTTATTTTGTCTCCCACCCACAGTCAGACTTTGACTCCCACTGTCGTGGGGCGTCTCTCCCATCAGCACATCTTGACACCAAAAGCACAAAGTCATTTGAGGGCAAATGAGAGCAGGTTGATAAAAATGCTAAGGTCATATCTGATCGAACAATGTTTTGTTTCTTCATCAACATTAAAGCTGCAGTAGGTAACTTTTATAAAAATAACTTTTTGTTATGAAAACAAGCAATCAGAGCCGAGAAATAGAGTTGATTGAGTTGATTCTCATATTCAGGTCCTCAGTTACAGATGCTTTGGGTCGATGGCTTGAAGATTGTTGAGTCTCATTCCCATTCCCAAAGCGTCTGTATTTGACAACTACAATCAACTATCTTTCTTTCTTGGCTCTGATTGGTTGTTTTTATTCAGCAGCACTAGGAGGAGCCAGAGGAACCTGATTTTTCACAGATTATCTGTCTCATGTACTACTGTCAGAATATAGTAAAGGTAAAGGTTACCTACTGAAGCTTTAAGGCCATAGTCCTTTTTTTAGGAAAATGACATAAATTACACAAAATAGTCTTATTTAAAAAGAAAAGAAACAAAGATGTACTGTTGTTTAGTCTATTGTATTTTCCTACAGTGATAGAGTATACTTTTTTATGTGCTGTACAGACCACATTGTGCACAAGAATGCACATTTACTTGCTTGTATTACAGATGAAATGACTGTGTAATCATTGTCATATTTGATAAATCATAGTGCAATATGAACATGTATCATTCTGTCCAAATAACGCAGTCAGTTACAGATAGGACACAAATAAAACTTCCTCAACGTGCGTGGGTGCACTGGTTGAAGAATGAGCACACTTTGACAAGTGCGACTTTTGTGTGTACGGCCAACATTTGTCCTGCCGGACTGTGTTTACCAGCTTAGAGCCTTGTCACATATTTTTGTCAACTGCAGGAGTATGACTAAGTGAATGACTTGTCAAGTCCATAACACGGCACAAACATGGCCCCAGCGTCCCTCACCATGTGACACCTGTTGCCTTCTCCAGTAATTCTGAGTCACACCTTTCTAATCCCTGACTGATTTTGAATTTGATGTTTCTCCCTATGTGTACGTACAGTATATGTATGTACGCGGAGCAGTGATCAGCAGAGGAAGCACATGTATAGCCTCTATTTTAACGTAAGCTTTATTATCATAGAGCAGTCCTCTCTGCCTTGTAACATAAGTGCATCTAGCTATTTATTTGTAATTTGCCTTTGGAAAAATACTCAAATGAAGTAAATAAAGATTGTGTTTGGTCTACATGCAGGAGTAGTTTATTGCTTTGAACAAGTATTTAATATTTCTGCCACAATCAAAGTCTAATGAATTCAATTGAAAGCGTTAACCACTTGTATTCAGCATCTCATTGGCTGTGAAATCGATGCCTGTGTGACCAAAAGACAGACGGATGATGCCATTTATTTGTGTCTGTAGCGCTGAGTGAAATCAGTCTTCACTAATTCAATAATAGTTATGAGTGATTGGAAGCTAATCCAATTCAACCATTAATGCTCAGCATTTATTACGGTATTGAGGCGTAAATTCCCAGTGTTGTCAGACTGATCCTTGACTGTGCCTTGGGAACAGGGAGGAGTTCAGTCGGACTATCAAATTAAATCAGTCATTCGGAGATCACGTTTTTAAAAAAAGGAGCCACCCTTAGAATGGCCCAAAAATCGCTTTTACTTCTAAATGAGCTTGGTTTTCTGCTTCGCCAAGGTTGCTGCTGCATGCATTAAACATCTGCAGGATAAGATCTCTTTTTTTAATGAGACTTGTTCATGTTTCTAAATCAAAATCCTAGCTTTGACACAGAATTCTGCTGTGAAAAGTAATTATTCCAGTACTATACTTAAAGATAACTTTGAGCTACTCAACTCACTTAACTTGCTTTTTATGTTTTAGATTAAGATTTGACATTGATAAAACATTGTTAAATGCTAAGGAGGTTAGCATTAACAGACCAGTGTGTTTTTTAGTTTTAGTAGTGGCATCTAGCGGTGAAGTTGCAGATTGCAACTTTCCCGCTCGCTTTCCAAGTATGTAGGAGAAACTACGATGACTGTGAAACTCAAGAGTCATTTGAAAGTCCCTATTTCCTATCTAGAACAATGTAGTATAATAATATGGAATACATTAGGTACATTTTGCTGATAATACCTCTGTACTTTTACTGAAGTAGGATTTCAAATGCAGGGATTTTTACATTGTTTTTATTGGTAGTTTTACTTTAGTAAAAGGCCAGATGAAAAAGATGTTCCTTTAGACTTATTGCAAATCATATGAATCTGAATATTTGTCATTATAAATACAATTTCCATCATGGAATCATGGTGTGCCTGTCTCTGTATCACTCATACACTCAGAGAAATGATTTGTTTTTGATTGTATTCTCTGTGTCATTTCCACCATGTCATTCTTGAATGTTTTGCATGATTGCATTCATGGGCTTTTGGTTCATTTGCAAGGAAATTGATTTGAGGAGAGTAGATGTGTTTATTGTTTGTGCCTCAGGATAATACAGAGGCTAGATGGAAAATAAGGAGACTGGTGCAGTCAGCATGGTATTTGTAGATATGGCCATGCATCCTTACACACTCTGACAGTGTGATTGAGGGACTTTAGGATTAATTCATCACCAGTTTCTAAAAAGTCAGAATTCCGCCTTAAATGTATTTTTCCATCACATCCCCTCAAGGCCTCTTTCTGTCAGACTCTAGAGAGATGATGTAGTAGTTCTTCAGTAAGTTTAATATACTCATGGGCATTTAATGATTTCATCAGATCCCCCTCGAGGCGTGAATAACATTAAAAGATACTCAGTTTGTTCTTTATTTTTTAACATAACGTCCCTTCAGGGCTTCCATAGACACAGGATTCATGTTACAATCAGTCCCCATCATGTGACTCATGATGACACTGCTGGGTCTCTATATAAATAACTTCATCCTTTTAGTAGTGCTGCCAAACTCCAGAAGAGCTGCAAGAAGATACCAGCGGTAACACTTTGCATGAGACTTAGCTCTTTGTTTGGTGAGTAGACAGTTTATGACTTTTTATGATCATCATTGTTGTTTTACATAAACTGAATCACTTTGTGTAGACTTTTGGTAACTTTTTCTAAATGACTGGAAACTGTTGGGGGTTTTTTCAACACAAAAAGTACAGAACGGCCAGATTAAATGATAATGTTAGTACAAAACTTAAAAATAAAATCAACAATGTTTTTATATGAATGAAAAGTTGTTTAAGAATCCTAATGGAAACTTAAGAATATACTTATAAGTTGCCTTTAAAAAACTGAAAGTGAACTGTATGCATTGAAGGTTATTTGCAAAGTTTTCTGGCAAAGTAAAACACTGATTACTTTTTTGCGTTATCTTTATTTTCCATTGCAATGACCACTCCTTAAGTTAAGGTATAACCTTACCAAGTTTCACTTTTTGCCCTACCCAAGTGAAGAGATTGAAAACTATTTTTGCCATAACGTCATAATTATGGATGTATAATGACTCTACATAAGTGTTTTCATAGTTTTTCATCACTTTATAATCACAGAACAGAAAAAACTCCATTCATTGGAAACCTGTCTGTGTGCGTAAAGCGTGCGTAAAACGTGCGTAATGGAGAAAAAAAAACCCCATCGTATTTATGGTTGTTCTTCTATATGTTTTTCAGCACTTTCAAGGTTCTCCGCGTAGGCTGCACTAATAAAATGGAGCACCTGGAAAACTCCACAGCCTCCCCCAAACGCCTCTTCCTGCACACGCAGAGCACCGCGGACTCCCAGGCGGACAACAATGACGGGAACGCGTACCTGTACATACTAATAGTCATGTCTTTCTACGGAGTCTTCCTCTGCGGTATAATGCTGGGCTACTTCCGCTCCAAAAGGAGAGAGAAGAGGAGGGTCAACATCTTCACGCGCCTGGTGCACGAGGAGGAGCAGCGGGAGTGGGGCGCGCTGCCCAAGAAACACAGCCTCACCTTTCCCGCCGCCGTCTCGGGACTGCGCTCGGTGCAGGTGTCGCTGCCTTTCTGCGGTAACCACGGCAACCACTTTGGACATCTCCACTATGAGGGCGCGCTGCCCTCTCCGCTGGCGTGCGCGCTGTGCACGGAGCAGAGCAGCATCAGTTCCCTGTGCTCCTCCGCGGACACGCGCTTGGCAATAGAGGAGGAGTCGGACAGCGGCACGGCGGAGGTACCGGAGGGGACCGCGAAGGGAGGATCCGACAACAGCGGACACGACTCAGGCTGAGCTCCGCCCAGAAGAACTGTGTGTTCGGCCGCAAAGAGGAGAAAACATCACCTGCAGAGGAGACCTGGTTCTCAGGCGTCTTCACATCACAGAAGACAAACAGTCCAACCAACAGCAACTTAAATCATCTATTTGCCATTAAAATCCTCCTCAAACCAACGTCATCCATGATATATATAGTCAAACAAGGCTATATGGCCGATGTGATATGTGTTAGTCAGTAAAGAGCTGACCGTTTAGAGGGGGCACTGGTGCAGAATGGGTTTTATCTGATGTGTTTTGAACTGATTTCAAACATTTTTGCATGATCTCTGACAGTAAGAACATATTTTGACTCAAGTGCTCAATGGTGAGGTTACGACACCCAGTGGCAACATGAAACCACACACACACACACACACACACACACACACACACCTTTCTTGTTTAAATACTTTAAATCTAAATGACAAGACTACATATGACTAAGTTATCATTTATGTCAGCTGTTAAGATAACCTTTAGATGGTGGTGTAATTATTTCATTCTATTCTATTCAGTACAACCTTATTTATCACTGCAAGGGTAGTTGCATGCAGCAGCTCACCACCCAGGTCAACATACACACATTAAGTAGGAGAGGAAAGAATAAAACACAGTTAATAATAACTGGATAATATCCACATATATCTAAAAACATACACAGGTGAAGCTGTAAAAAGGAATAGAATATTATATTAAATGAAACTGGGCTACACCCAGTGGAATAAAACACTATTTACACTTACACTGTATTATTCCATTGTACAGCTATGACTTTGCCTGATTTGGTGGTGACCCCTCCCTGTTGGAGCGCCCTCCTGACGCCACACTGAGAACCAACCCACTGGTTTGGAGTGATGACTCACCCTGCAGGGGCCTGAGTGACAGACTGAACTTGACATGCTCTTGCCAACATGGTCTCGAGTATTGAAACGCACCTGGAACCCACTTGAAAGATTGTCTGAACTAAAATGTGTTTGTTGTAGCTTCACGATCGACACTGCTCACACACAGTCAGCGATGTAGGTTTACTTGATGAAAGCAATGCACTGTACATATTGTTGGTATTTTTCACTTCATGAGGCTTGATTTTAAGATGGAGTCTTTGTAGTGTTTGAAAAATAAATTCTTAGATTTTGATTTGAGAGGTTTTTTTTCTTCTTTTTGTCAGTTGCACTTTGATGTTTCCCCAGTGGAGGGCACTGTTGTAGTGCTTTCTGATTGTGGTTGCTTTTAACAAATAAGGGAGACGAAAGGGATATGAAGCAAGGGAAAGAGTGACTCTATTATTATCACGTTATTTTTAGAGATAGCCTACATTAGATCATTATAATAATGCAAAATAGGGCAGATAATAACTGAATCAGTCTCGCCAAAGCCCCCTAACTCATCTTTTTTAGCTCACGTCCTCAGTTAAACCTGTATCTGACCCTTTATGTCTTACATAGACACAGCAGACTGTGTCCCAATTATCCCAATTATGTTCCTATGTTTGAAACTGCTCAAACTTTGGCTGGCAATTAAAGAACCTGAAGAAAGTGGGTAGTTTATTTTATTTATTTTTTTATCAGTATTATTTCATTAGTGTGGAGGTTTATGGTCATGCAAAAGACCCCCTAAGGCATCATGCAGTCCATTTAAAGATTAATCAGGCTGCATTATCACACGTCGAATGACACACAAGGCTTTTTTTCTTCTCCTTTTTCTGTGAACTGTTTCCTTGTCTGAAGATATAAAACCAGGCAAAGACACCAGGAGGCAGCTTCAGGTTTTCTGTTTCTCTAAGGCGACGTGCTTTTGTGTTTTCCCTCTGCTGCGTCATTCAACCCTACACACACACGCCACACACACACACACACACACACACACACACACACACACACACACACACACACACACACACACACACACACATTCACACACAGACTATCGGCACCGCTGCAGGCTCTCAGTCCCACAACTCACAGCAATGACAGCTCGCCACATCAACATAAGCAACAATGATGGCCAGAGGGAAAACATGCATAGATTTTATGACGTACATGTATTGACAGTGTAATAGCCCTCCTACGCCCAAAAGACGCCTGCGAGGGCCTGGGCTGGTTGTATGCGCATGTGTGAGTGTGTGTGAATGGTATTCGATCTTTCTCCTTTTTCATTCAGGTATTTTCAATTTAGCACCAGTGTAAATACATCTTTGAGACCTGAAAGGCATCATCAGGCACAGCAGCTGGCAGGAAATCAGCTACATTGTCACTTACTTTCAGCTCCTTATTTAACCCACTTTATGTCAGGTATACTCACTATTTCACACTTTAAAGATGAGCTCAAGAAGAACTAGCCTATTAGTATAATAGAATATGGTGCCCATTAAAAATATTGGAAGTTTCCACAAAAAAGACCCTTTAATGTCAAAGTGAGAACTCTATGAAGTGATCTAAATTAATAACAAATATAAAATACTTGTAGGTCTACTCAGTCTTCCCTCCAAGTCAGTATCTAGCAAATACCCCAGAGTCTGTGTGGATTCCTTTTTCCTCTTTCCCCAACTCGATGTCATGTGAGTGTCATGAAGCTGTGACGTGGTCAAGCACCCTGAAGCTTGGAACTCCTTCAAAGTTCTCATAGGTCTCTTGGTAGCAACCCTCTCTAGTCTCTTTGCACTCATGTCACTCATTCATGTTGTGGGTCTACAGATGGCAATGTCTGTCTGTTGTCAGTCCGACTGTCCAACACTTTGGTTCAGACTGAAACATCTCAGCATCTGCTGGATGGATCTCCATCACATATTGTACAGATATTTATGTTCCACAGACAATGAATAGTCCCGACTTTTGGTAATCCCTGCCTTTTCCTTTAGTGCCCCCAGTAGGTTGAAGTTTTAACTCATCCCTAATATTTAAACACCTGCCATATGGATTGGCACAAATTTGGCTACAGTCATTCATAATTCTCTGAGGATGGATCCTAATGACTTTGGGGGTGATCTGCCTTTTAGCACCACCAAGAGGTTGACAATTTTGTTTTTTAGTTAAATATCTCAACAGCTGTTGAATGAATTGGCATGAAATGTGGCTTTTCATCTAGCACCATCATCAGGTCAACATTTTATTTTGTCCTATATGTTTCTTTATGACTAATACTGATTCTACTAAAACCAAAATGATTTACATTCCCATCAGTGCACAGTGTTTAGAGATAATTCAGAAACGTTAGCATGCTAACCCACTAAACTAAAATGGTGAACAGTTGACCATTATACTTGCTTAATATCAGCACGTTAACATTGACATTAGCATTTAGCCCAAATCAGTCTCACAGAGCTGCGAGCACAGCTATAGTCTTGTTAAGGACAACAGGCTCTGGGCAGATTTAATGTGGTGTCATCATTTCTCCAACTCCAAGGGATGTTCAGTAACTTTTCTAATTTTCTTATTCCCATCCACTGACTTGTGCCTTTAGGTCATCTTTTTGCAGAGTTGATTGGAGTGTTCCTTTGTCTTTGTGGTGGAGTGTTTGCCATTTTTTTCTATTAATAAGTGTAAAAAACAAAGCTACATTAAGTCTACACTGATTCATAAAAAATAAAAGCTTCTAAGGGATTGGTGAATACTTTCCTAGATACCAAAAATACAAGCTCCCAATATTAAAGAGTCAAAATTATCTTTGCATTATTGATGTACCCACAGAGAGATCAAATAAGAGTGAATTGATGTAAAAAAAAAAAAAAAAAATAAAAGAAGAGCTAAAGAGGGAGATAGAAGTATTTCTGTATCTCTCTGTCTTCCTGTCTTCCGGAGAGCCTGACACAGATACAGACTTGTTGAAGCATTTCAAATCGTATTTCCTACACAACATAAACACCCCACTGAATAATTCATGTACAACAAACACACACGACCACACAGTGAACCATTCATTTATTGTCAACAAGGAAGTTGGGGGGGATGCACTGCTGTGTCTGTAGCAACGAGCAGGAAGAAAATATGTGCAAGCTGCCTTGTCGTCTTTTATGGTGCAATAGTGGCTGTGTGTGTGTGTGTGAGAGAGAGATAGTGGGAGTAAAAGCAAGGGAGTTTGTTCTCTGGAGAAAGAACGAGTAAGAGTAAGCAGGGTGAGAATAAGAAGCAGATGTGATGCATGGAGTGTCTCCTGCACCGTGAAGCAGGATGTTTGTCATTAGTGTCCCCCTGTGGGAGTCGATGGTGGGGCCTGTGTCCTGCCTCAGGCCCCACACATACACGCCAATAATGAGTCTGGAAATGAGTCACTTCAAACCCACCATCCCTCTCCCTGTTTCCATTCTTACTCCCTCCCTCCTCCCTCCCTTCTGTTTCCTCATTAAACTTCTTTTCATTAAGTTGAGAATTATTTAGAAAGGAGGGTTTGTAATGTGAGTGTATAACTAATCTCTATACACTGCTTGGTGGTCAGTGGGAATTTCTCTATATCACATTCCATAAAAGGAATTACTTCTAGTATAAGTAGTAGTAATAAGCATTTCACATGACCATTTCTAAACATTTGCGGGAGAAACTGAATGTATTTATTGGCATGATATTGATAAAATTTAAAACTGCACTAATCAATATTTGTACATGGACAGTGGATCAAATGACTATATGTAATATGAAAGGGGTTACTTAAAGTGGCAAACCCACAGAGAATTATTCTCACCCGAACCTGCAATCCCCCACCAGTTCCATGTAGCTTTATAGCCTGTTTTAGCTCATTGTTTTGGTTATCTGACTATCAAATGAAAGGTTTGATTTACTCTCGCTGCCCTCATCACTATTGTTTCCAGCAGCTGCAGAAAGCTGTTTTCAGCAAAAAACTTGCCCGGCACCAAACGACAGACAAGGTTAGTTGGTGGAGATCGAAATAGAGCTATAAGAAGGGAAAATATTGGAATGAAATTCATCAAGTCACAAGAAACACAACTCCAAATTAAATTTAATGTTGCACAGTGTCTGCTTGAAGTGTAAGCTAACCCATTAATCTCAATAGCTCTATCAACAAAATACATAGAAGTCTTTGACATAACATCAAAAAAGTCATTTCTTCACATTCTGTTGATAATCTTTTTAATTTTTGAATATTTTAAACAAAAATTCTTACATATCACACCTGTAAAGCATTATGAAGGCTTATTTCTATCACTTTAAAATATTTTCAGCTTCAGTTAAAATCCATCGGTATGAATACCATCCTAGAAAAATCCCACAGATGTACCCAGATGTTCTCCACCAACCTTAAAATGGCATGAAGCCGTTTGCTCCACGTGATAAAAGCCAAATAGGTTTTCAGCTGATATGCAAGTCTGCACTGGCTGTGATAAATTACCAGACCTTTTCTGGGTCATGGAAATTGAGCAAAGTATAATATCACATCAGATGGAGCAGCGAAGGAGCAGGTCTGCATCACTCAGGCTCTTACCAGGGCTGACAGTTATTATTAAGGAACAATCTGAAATTCTGTGTAAGAAGTAACTTCTCTTGGTCAGCCTGCCTGAAAGACTCAAAATTACTAACAGCCGAATGATGCACTTATCATGTTTGAGTGCAGTTAAATGAAGGATAATATGCCCTAAATTCATATTAAAGGGTTTAATCATTAAAAAAAAAAAAAATCTAATCTATAGCTGAATTCTGAATGTTAAAAAATGGTCTTGTATTTTGGACTCACCTTCCTTTCTCACCCAGATGAGCTCCACTCCATCGGTCTGGACATTTCAGCATGTCACCCTAATCCTATTTACTGTACATACTGTCGCTCACAGCCTCTTTGGGAAAGTAATAACGTGCCGCAGTGACGGAAACGTACTCAGAGGTACTACTGCTGATGAGCTTATTATAAGAACCACAACTTTCTCTCGGGCCCTCGTTTTGACTGACCTTTAGATCTTTATCTCACAGAGTCTAATCTTAGAAAGCTTCTCATTATATTGTGTTTGTTTAATGTGCCATTTTCCTGAGTAGATCATAATAACTTTCTCAAACGGGCGTCTGCAGGAGTCACTGTCTGTGCTGACACTTAACCTTCACTGAATTATTGAGATTCTGGCTCAAAACAAGAAGTGTTCACCTTTTGCTTTAGAGCAGGTAGCACAATTCTTAGTGGTATGAGCGCTGACCTCCTCC